ACCCCTTTTCTCATTGTTTGTTACTAAAATGTCTAAAAATATATCTGAAAATACCGTACCCATAAATAAATAAAAGAAAATACAAATTTCTACAAGATTTTTTTGAACGCAAATTTCTACAAGATTGGTCATGCTTTCTTTGTACATTCTCCAAACAAATGTCATCTTCCTACCACTGGATTCTTCTGATACCTATTTTTTTTTTTTTCAAGAAAAAACTATCATAAATTTGCTCATGACTTCATGGGTAAGTTCAATATATTGCAAATTTGCAACACTTGAAATTCACTACAGTAGTGATACTGTACACGGTAAATTAGAAAGAAGAACAAGGGAAATCGAGATTTGAAAATCAAATAATAGGATAATATATTATATCTCAAGCAAAAACAATTGGAAATCCAAAAAGAATCAAGAAAAAAAAAAATGATCGAAACATAAACATACTGTATAGATTAAAAGCGAATAATGAACCTTCTCTAATCGGTAAATGTGTACATCCGGACTCTGTTCACAGTAACTCCCTCGCTGAGTATCCGTACTGAGATCGCCTAATATTGTCTCGCCTCTTCTTGTAAACCATCCCTCCCAGCCCAACCAAACACGCCGCCGCTACTACGCCAACCACGATCCCCGCCTTCGTGCCTCCACTCATTCCACCGCCGCCACCAGACTCTTCATTCTTTTTATCCGGATCATTGTCTTGGTTAACGTCGCTCGCATCGCTTGCCGCCGGCGCCGGCGCCGGCGCTGGTGAAGGCGGATTAGATGGGGATCCCTCTGGAAGTAGATCTGACGGCGATGGAGCCACTGGAGACGGAGGTGAAGCAGGCAGCGGTGGAGAAGAAGGAGACGGAGGTGGAGCGAGTTCTGGAGGTTGAGTAATAGTACCGCCAGATTCAGGCGCCGGCGCTGGTGAAAACTCCGGCGCATCGGAAGCCAAAGCGAAAGAGATAACTAACAAGAACAAAACAGCAGTGAATCCAAACTTCGCCATTGGTAGATCTGGAAATGCAGTAGAAGAACTGGCGGAGAGGTTTTTGAAGTAAATCCAAATTCCGGAACGATCTGAGGAAAGTGGAGGCGGTTTCTAATGATATGGGACGGGGACTATATTTACGCTGACGGAAAATCGGCGACCAATCAGAGATTGACACGTGAGGTAGGTGTTTGCCGCGTAGCGAAACACCGGTCTGGATCAGGCCGCAGGGATACGGCCTATTTGGAATCGAAGGAAAATAATAGTGGAAGTTTATACCCCAAAAATAAATGGAAAATGAAAAAAGAAGGGGAAAGAACGCAAAAAGATTTGATACAATTAAAGTCACGATAATTTTTTAAAAGTATATCCTTCAATTGATTGTATCTTTTTATTATTTTTATTCTTAGTTAGATAAATAAAAAACTTTTAAAAAAATAATGTAAATAATTTTCTTCCCCTTTTTTCTAATTTTTTAATTAAATAATATTTTTTTCTTTTTTTATACTAAACATATTATTAGTAGAATATATGAATTAGTACTAATTCACTGGTTTAATATTATATACTTATTATAAAATCGTATTGTCAGAAAAGAGTTTTTTGAAATAAAAATAAACATTGTAGGTAAAGATTGTGTGAAATAAAAAACGATTCTCGAATCATATAGATAGACGTGAAGGATTACATGCTTAGATTTTACGTAAAAACAACTCTTAACCCCGATACAAATCTCATTATTATAACATATAAAAGAGAGAGGCCCGCCGGCATATTGGGGAACACGGTAGGTATAAACTGAAAATGCAAGAAAGTTATAAAGAAGGCGTTTATGGATGTTCAGCCGGATACCTTTAGAGATACACTGAAGAAACAATGGCGGATATTACACTTTTCTTGTTTCATTACTTTTTCCTGAGAAAGAAGGAATGGAAAAGATGGTAGGTTTGACGGAGTTTCGAAACACGAAAATTATCAGAGAAGTTACCTTTTTCTAATCAACTCACATTTTAATCTATCTTATAACTACTCCGGTTCTACCTTGCTGATGATACATGAAGCGGCATCAACTAAGCATACTGTTGGTCCTTATAATCAGCTCATAATTCGTCCTTCACGTCAGTGGTGGTTGAGCTGGCACTGCTTTCCTTTGCTTCGGTTGCTTCAGGTTTGGGAGTTGAAGCTGGTTTTTGGAGCTTGAAAGGAATTGAAGCATGTTTCTTGAGGAACTTGTAAAATGCCACCACCGTGCGATCAGTGTCTACGGTAATCTGTTGAGACCCAGAATGATTCAACAATCAACTCCTAAAAATAAGTTTGACATCCAGATATAGAAAAACAGAGTGAAAAATGGTACTTACTGGGTCAAAGCTTTTGTTTCCTGCTGGGAAGAATAAAATTGTTGGGAATCCATCAGACTGCAAAAATAAAACAGCTTTCGACCATGAATTCTCTTAGAGGGATATTGTTTCTACTACTATCAAGCCCTCCACTTCCAAATGAGACAGGGCAGTAGTTCTTTTGAGAGTGAACAGAAATGTCTTTGAAGGCAGTCAAAACCAATGTCACAAAGAGAACGAATGCCAAGATTGTGAAACAATTTCAATGTTACCTTTGCCCTGGGATGTTCATTTGTTGTCCCATCCATCTTAGCAATAACAAGAGAATCAATCCCTCGTAGATGTTTGGCAAGCTTGTTGTATGTTGGCTCCAAGGCTTGGCAATGCCCACACCAAGGTGCGTAGATCTGTCACAAGGACCAAACAATGGAATGACTACCATCCAGAGAAGGATTTAAAAAAAAAAATTTAATCTTTTTCTAACTTGGTCTAAGTGGTACCTCAAGAAGGACATCCTTCGACTCGTCCAAAACAATTTCATCAAAGTTATTTCCAACCACTATTTTCACATCACCATCATTCTGTGTCCATTGGAAATACAGGTCAGATTATGGCACCAAAAGAGCAATTTAATTCACTAGATAAACAAAATAACTTACAGTTTCAGGAATTGGGTCTGACTTGAAGAATGGCTTAAGCTTGTCTTCCAGGAAATCCTCCCCAAATGCCTAAGGAATGGTAGAGCATTCATATCGTTTAGGTTAAACATTACCTAGTGCACTTAAATTGAAAGAAGAGAAGGAATGCCACAGACTACAACCTTAATTTTATCCAAGGTCACTTCACCATCCATCACAAATTTTTTCCCATCTTCGTTTCCTGTGTATGCGATAACCTATGGAAATGAATGCCAGATAGAAGAATGTCAAAATTCACTGCAATTATAAATCATACTCTCCTATTCCCCCACAGCCTGACCAACCCAACAGACACACATACAGAAGGTTAAATGGAAAAAAAAGGCAGGCATGAAATTACATTGGGATCATCCCCAGTGACACCAAAATAATCAGCAACAGGCCTTCCAAAATCTTCGTTGTCCATTTCAACATATACACAGATGAGCTGCAAGTCAGCACACAAAGATATAGATAAGAAATACACTCTTGTTAAAACCAGGACACTGCAATAGGCATCATAAACTGTGAAAAATATAATAGCATTTAATTGCATTATAACACTTGAATGTATTTAGCGTATCAGTGTAAAGAGATGAAGTTTTAATGTGTTTTCTTAAACTGGTTTCAGACTTGGATTAAAACCAGAACATACAATATAAAATTTTCCATTGAAGACATTAAGTTACCTTCCCCTTGAAAGATTTTGCTGCTTCTTGAAATGCCAGGATAAACTTGTCTGACTCGTTTTTGGTGGCAAACAGCAACAGCTTCAAAGCAAAAGATTCATGTGTCAATAAACTCACACAGTACTTCAAAATCTGAGTCTAAGAACAATTTCCCCTAAAGTGCAAAATTATGAGAAAACTCAGATTAAAAACACATTTACCTGCTTCTTAATTGAACTTTCAAAGATCGCAGGGGCACTTTCCCTAGTAAATATGGTAACCAAAGGAAGCTTGCCGGAAAGGATAAATTCAGACATGGCAGACTTGGTAAATTGGCCATCTGCAAAATCACAAGAACATCTCTATATAAGTCCTCCAGGACAAATTGATTGAAATTTCCAACCAAAATTACTTCTAGGTATAAACTAACCAAAATGGCTTATTTTCTCAGCCTCCCTTTTAATCAAGACCAAAGCAGGGCGTTTGACCTCAGGGTCAATATGGAAAAGCTTTGCCACATCAGGATTCACGGTTTGATAGAAGTTCACATCATCTTCCAGTCTTGAAGCAGCAGCTAGCTCGTCAGCATCAGGACCCTGTAGTTAAATGGAGTAGGTACAGCCACAATATGAGTTAGATCATCCAAGGAAAAAAATGTTTATCAGTTTAAAAGTTAGTAACACATAGGGCATAAACATAAACATAATACGCAAGAGTAAAACCATACCACCAAAGAGTTCAAATAGCCCAAAGCAACTTTACTTTCAGAAGTCAAAATGCGCTCAGCATCATCAGAGGTGGTGATGTTTTGTACACCAGGTCCAATCTTCTTCTTGATCCAGGTCACTATAGCCTCTCTGATATGCAAATTAAATATAATTAACCCTAATATAGAATAATTCCAATATCCGATACAAATTAGCACCTCATCAATGGTCAAACACAAAGAAATGCAATTGTAGCCACAGAGACCAAACTGAATAGATCCACTCACTTGGTTTAGTTTATTCCAATTTCAAAGGTTGCATATCTCAAAAATATAAATGCAAATTACTTACTTGTTTCTTGCACCATTGTAAGGCTTGTGCTCCCCATCAACAAAGAAGTAGACAGTCGGGAACCCCTGCACATCGTACTCCTGAGCTAGCTCATTCTCCTCGGTGGCATCCACCTTAGCCAGCACCACTCCCTCAGCCTTCAGCTCGGTAGCCGCCGCTGCATACTCTGGAGCAAGCGCCTGGCAGTGGCCGCACCAGGGAGCATAAAACTCCACCATAACGAACTGGTTGTTCTCGATGACGGTAGTAAAATTCCGTTCCTTCAAAACGACGACGTCCTTGTCATCGACCTCAGGCTCCTTGTATGGATCTGAATCGGAGTCATCAAAATCACCGTAATTCCCGAAGTCGTCGTCGTCCAGTTCCCCGTCGTCTTCTTCCTTGGTTGAATCTGGAAACTCGAGGTGATGGCGGGCGGCGTCACTTTTCTCATCAGCTTCTTCAAGGAAGCTCAGATCTTCTTCTTCCTCTGCCTCATCCTTGTCCTTGTCGGACTTGGATAGGGCGGGAGTGAGAGCGGAAGAGAGGAAGAGGAAAGCGAGCAAGAAAAGCAGGAGGAAGCGCAGCGACATTGTTCCTAGCGGTGATTGTGCTTAACTGAATTCCCGGCGAGACTGGTGGAGAGATCAGAAGGATGTAGTGAGATCTGAGCAGGGTTTATACTTTATAGAGTGGAGCAGACGGAATGGAAAATCAGAAATCAATTCGCACGACGTCGTTTTGCTCGTCGTTTTTTGATTTGGTATGTAACAATTTGCTAGTCACTTTACCTTTTCATAAAATGCTATATTGCACTCTAACGTTTTATATTTAGTTAGTCAAGTCCTGGGCTGTAGTATGGGCCAGCATATGGGCCACTGGCTACTGCAATCCAAAATTCTTGGTCAGGTCCACTTTCAAAAACGACATCGTAAACTCATAAAATTCATCCCTCTACAATTCATCGCAGTGAGATAAAATTCCTCAACTCTCCTCGCCGAAATCCCCGAAGACACCATGATCAGCGTTCTAGCTCAGGTGGTCGTCCGGTTTTGGGTCGTCGTCTTTTGTTTCTCGTTCTATTTTAATCTGTTTTGGGTGTTAATTGTGTGCTGGGACTGTGTGGGCAGGAGCGATTGCTTGGTGCTGCACTGGGAAGCACATTGGCGGGGATCGTCGTAATCGAGCAGCGCAAACGCATTTACGATTCGATTTCCGATGAGAAATCCAAACTCGCCGCTCAATCTAAGGTGCATTTTTGTTTTCGTATTTGAAACCTTAGCGACTGATTTAATTCACCATTTTATTGATCTCTCTAACCCTAACGGATTGTAAGTTGTTGACTTTCCTCGTTAATTTAGGCGAAAGAAGAAATTAAATTTATAGGGCTGATTATTGTGAATTTGTTTGTTTAGATTCTTATTTCTCTACGTTTTACATTATATCTGTTATCACTCCTTTTTGTTTATTTATTTTTTTATTTGTTATTATTATTATTATATATATATTGCAATTTTTAGCTCTTGCATTTTGCTTTCCATTGTGCTTTCCATGCCTCAGGCAAAGAAATTAAAAGTTTGATCCTTAAAAAAAAAAAGGAAAAAGAAAAAAAAAAGGATAACCAATAGAAATCCAATCTTCCCCTAGTTGCAGAATTAATATCTTCTGCTCATTTCCTTTTATATCACTGTCGTTTTGTGTTAGACATTTTGAGAAAATTGTCTTGTAGCACATTCTCTTAATTATTATTTTTTTTAAAGAGTTCTATTTCATTTAGATAATGCATATCATTGATTGGAAGATGGGAGGACATTTTTAATATATATAAATATGTGTGTGTGATCTCAATGAAGAGTCTGAGGAATGAATATTCATCAGACTTGTTCTTATAATCCTATTTGACAAAGTATAGATGGAGTAATATTCTTATTGGTTGTAAATATGATCACAAAACATTGGTGAAGTAATGAAGGAGCTGACATCCTCTACTTACCATAGAACTGAAAACAAAAATCACAGAGATTGTCAAAAAGAGAAAGCTTTTGTTTATGTGAAGCCCACAATAATCAATTCCATGCTTGAGACCGGCATGCACTTATATCTAAGATGGGAGTGAGTAACCTTAAATTTTATGAGTTGAGGTCTTGAGGAGCTAATTTAGGGGTTATTCCGTTGTTTTTCGAGAGTGGATGATAAAGAGTACACTATTTTTAGTTTGATTTGTATAATGCAAGGCAAAGCAAACACAACCTTCTTCCTTCACCTAACTCATCAACCTGCATGTTATATGCTTCCAACTTAAAATCTCTTATTCTCACAAAGAGGAAATAGCCACTGAATCAATACCATCTCCCAAATCATTCTATTAAAACCTAAATTGTTCTCGTGAAAATGTTGAGCAAGTACTTACAATTAATTAAACATATCAAATCTGAACACCAAATTATTTTCACAAAATGTCTCTAACATAAAGGAGAACATTACCAAAATAAAAATAAATACAAATACTTTGACACCGTCAAACACTCTTCAATTGCCGTCCATAGACTATTTCTCAAAAGATTCATCAATCAAAAACCATCATGATAAAAAGATTTAAAAGTCTGGGAAGTTGCCAGTCAAACAAAATGACAGAGAACACTACAAGCAGGTATATTATAATAGCTGGTAGTACCTGCCACTTGTTGTCTAACATCATCGTAAGAGCAAACATGAAGGCCAGGATCATGGTTATTATTGAAATGATGAGTGTGGAAATGGCAAACAGCATATGAAAGGACCTAGCGCTGTGACGAACCCCTCTACTATAGGATATTGTGAGTACACTCAGGAATCCCAAAAATGAAGTTGATGCAGTAACGAAGGACACTGCATCACATATTAGAAACCCAGAAAACATTTTTCTGTGCAATAATATGGGGATGCCGGTGTCTTGATTGTTCCCGCCAGGAACTGTAAAGAGTGCTGCAAACATAATGGTAACAATTAAAATAGATGCGAGACTATAAGACTCTGCAGTTTTCTTTGCCCACTCCTCCATTTCTTTTGCCAATTTATGGTGTTCCCTGCGGAAAACTTGGGATGGAGTTTCACCATATAGATTTTTGGCTTCTCGATACCAGCGTGGAAGGTAACTCTGAACCTCCTGTCAATTCATAATACTATCAATGAGCCTTAAAATTTTAAGTGAATAGAAAAAAAAAAAATGAAAAACAAGAAATCTTTTCCGAGGAACAAATTATTTGACTGAGGCCTCGCAATTACCCCAAATTAAACTTACTCCTGAAAGGAGACTCCACCTAGAGATTTCATAATCCTGGCTACTTGTATCTTTCTTATTATTATTTTTTTCTAATTTTATATTGTAAAATAAAATGTTGTAAGAAATATAGAATATTCTGCTTTTTAAATTAGAGAAAAGGAACATTAAGTCAGAGTTTATTGACAACCTCAAACCACTTTTCTTCGAGGGTCATAGACCGAGCTGCAGTGAAATTGACATCATTGGAAAGATTACGGTCAGGTAACTTGGCTACTAAATGCAACGCGTTGTTTCCATCTTCATCTCTTAAACAAAGAAGTGCTTTCTTCCCTACATCACGCCTGTAAAGAAACCTTAAAATACCTCGTCGACGACACTTGATTGCACAGATGAGTATTTCTCTTGAAAGCTTTTCATTGCACCAAGTTAAATCTGGGTTTGCTTTAAGAATCTGAATCACAATCTCCTCTGTGCCACTCCTGATTGCTTGGAAGATCGCTGAGATTGCTCCACTTTCAACAAGTTGTGTGGCATTCCTGTAGGTAGATATTTCCTTGCACCGGTGACGCAGAACCAAAGTGACATACGCATGGGTTAATTTCAGATGGTATATGCGCATCAGTGTACCTACCCCAAGTCAAGACAAAGAATAAGGAGAAATTGCTTAAACAATAACAAAGAAAGGTTTAGTTGAAGACGTTACATACCAGGTTTATGGAATAGAAAGAAAAAGAGTCCCAATATTCTATCCGTTACTCTAACCCGTGCTACTGCAACACCAAACAGACAAAAGCCATTCATGTTTCCTTGGCTTAATGTATGTTAATGGAATAGCTACTCCCATTTAGTAAGCAAAGCGCAAATTGACTGCCATTTGAATCAATATGGATACGTAACGAAAACATACCCTGTCTTTTGAAGATTTCGAGTCTACTTATACTTCCAGCGTCGTCAGAAGGAGACGGCAACTCTACAACATCTAGACCTTCAATGACAACGAATGAAATTAATTTTTATGTTAAGTAAATTTTTTTGGTAAAAATGGACCAAAAAGCAGATCTAAAGTTACATTAATTTCCTCTCCTGTAATTTTATCCCAAGTCTCAACTCTCGAGATGAGATACGGACAGAAAATGAGTAACATTAATTTTTTATCAACTGAATCTTAAAACATATATATATATATATATTAGATGAAAAAACATTTAAATTATATTATTTTAATTAAGTAACACTAAAGAAGACTAAAATAGTTTTATTGTTGTTTAAAAACTATAATGTTTGAGAATTCTATTAAAATAATGCCTATTTGTTTACCTAATTTCTTACAAGTACACCTAATAAACATTTTTTTCATAGGTATAAAACAAGGAGATTTATCATGATTGTTTTTTATATGAATAAAAATATGATAAAAAGTAAATAAAACTCAATTTATAGTGGGGAGATTAATGGTTAAAATTTTGTGTAAAAAGCATATCTAAATGCATCCTAACTCATATATATTCCATTTATAAAAAAAAAAAAAAAAAATGGTCTCCTTGGCTATATAGTATATTGGTAATTATACCTAGACTAAATACGCTATTTTTACATTTGTATATTTATCTTCCTCAATACTTCTTGCATAAATGTGGAGAATGAAAACTAGAGAAAAAATTGAGGAGAGTAATGATACCAACATTTATACAAAAACTCATCCATGACGACTCTAAACGGTAATTTGCTGGAGAATAGATAAGGATGAACAGACAATTCCGAAATGGTAATGGATTCTCCACTAGTTGCCAAGCGCGGACAATGAAAGAACAGATCTTGACCAACATCTGTTATCACCACATGTAAGCAACAACATATCAAAGCCAAGACTATATGTTTAATCCAAAATTTTTATGGAAAGAGCCAACAATGAATTAGAGCTTAGAATAACAAGAAAGGCTAGGCGCTCTTACCAAACATGAAATTGAGTACACAATATTTGACGAACAAGGTACCCTGGTTGCTATTTTCTGGAAGTAAGAATTCAAACTCAGTTACGGAGTAGAGATAGGATGCCATATCCTTCTGGCGGTTGATACATGCCACCACAAGTGGTATATATCCTTCCTTATTCTGAATTGTAAGCAATTTATGATTATTTTGAGCCAAGCATTCTGCAATCTTCACTTTTCCATTATAACGAGCAGCAAGGGAAAGAGCTGTATCTCCACTGTCATCTTGATTTTCCAAGTAGTGTACTCCTACTGTCTTAACCAATTCTTCAACAATGTTCAAGTGACCAGCAATAGTTGCAATATGGAGAACAGTGAAACCACCAGGAAATTTTATTTCAGTTATATAGTCCAAGTGTTTTAGGGCATTCCAATCCCCAAGATGGATATCCTTGAGTAATCTTACAAATTCAGTCCTTTCATTGTTGTCCAACATTCTTCTCCAAGTTTCTTCTTTTCAAAGATGGAATAAAAGAGTTAATTTAGTAAAAGGCACAGACCTTTTATTGAACCAAAATTTTGGATTAATTTGGAGGCCAAATCAAGAGTTATTTTTAAGGTTAAATGTCAATTTTGGTCACTCAACTTTTAATTTTAAATATTTTTGGTCTTTTAATTATTTTAGACACTTTTTGATTTATCAATTTTTAAAAATATATTTTTTTAGTCATTTTATCAATTAAATGTGACGTATAGCGTTAAATCTCTTAATGGCATCTTCTTTAATTGTTTCGATGATGTGGCAATTATACATGTGATCCCTTAGTTGCACAAGTTTATTTATTTTTAATTATATAGTGAAATAGAAACTACAGAAATTAATTATTTTATTCATGAAATTACAAATTCACCCCCATATTCTCCCTCATGTTGACCATCCTTCTTCGCTTCTCTCACATCGCCTTCTTCATCTTTCCTTCTCCTTCTTTCTCCCTCCCCCTCCCTTCTCATCCTTCTCATTTTCTTCAAGAACAGGTTCCCCCAAGAGAATCTGGAACTAGACTTGACAATTTTTTACCCAACCCACTAACTCATCAATTACTCATCCGTTTAAAATAGGTTAGGGTAAGATATTTATGACCCGTGACCCGTTAGTGATCCATTAAGAAAACCCAACAAGTCACGGGTCAACAACAAGTTGACCCGGTTACCCATTTGAAACTTTAAAAATTTTTAATTTTTTTTTTCCAATTCTCTGACCCCAACTAAACCTCTACTAATTGACTAATTTTTTCTACTTAGTTAATTGATTCTCTTAACTCATCATCTTCTAGAAGCAAAAATAATCTCACTCCACTAATGACTCACCTCTCGACCTTTCCTATTCTTACTTGCCCTAATACTCACCAAGACTCTAACTCTTCAAAGTTTAAACTCTTTTCATATTCTTCAACCTCCATGGTCCATATAACCTTCGACTTTCAAGTTTTGACTCCACCTTTTCTCTTTAGTTTTTAACATTATCTCAGACTCAGATCTCAATCTCACCAAGTCACCATCGCATCAACTCAATCCATTCTTTTTTTCTCCTTCGATTCCCATAAGTACTTTCTTTGTCACCAACTTTTCTCTCTAAAGCCTTCAAGGTAAGTTGTTTACTTATTTATGTTTTTTAGTTTTCTTTCCATTCCAAGTAAAAATTCTACTTGATTTTCTCCTTTGCTTACTTAGATGCATTCAATTGATTGATTGACCAAAACAAACATGTTCCAATGGGATTTGTGTTTTATGGTTGTCATGCTACTATTTTTTTTTTGTTAAACCCCTATTTTGGTCCCTGAACTATTGTATCGACCCCCGATTTGGTCCCTGAATTAAAGAAATCCTTAATTTGGTCCTTGAACTATTGTACGGACCCTTAAGTCGGTCCTTAAACTATTGTACGGACTCCCGAGTTAGTCTCTAAATTATTGTACGGATGCCCAATTTGGTCCCTACTGTTTACCAATTTAACCCCAATTTGATCCTTCTGTTAAATAATAGCTCAGGGACCAAATTAGGGCGAAATTGTAAACAGTAAGAACCAAATTGGGGGTCCATACAATAGTTTAAGGACCAACTTAGGCCAAATTATAAACAGTGGGGACCAAATCAAGATCCGTACAATAGTTTAAGGACCAAATCAGGAATTTCTTTAGTTTAGGGACCAAATCTGGGATCCGTACAATAGTTTAGGGACCAAAATGGGGATTTAACTTAATTTTAATCAAATAAGTGTTGTGGGACGTGGCACTTGGTCGCAACTAAAATGTATATGTAATGCATTTTCAAATTGAATTAACAGATCGATATGCCACGTTTAATTAATAGAATCATAAAAAAAATTATATTTTTCAAAATTAAGGGATGAAAAAGTGTTTAAAATAATTA